GCACTAACCATGAGGCCACAGCACCTCCCACAAGATGGAAGCTGGACAAGTCAACTGCATTTTGCAGTACGTAGCACTGAGGATAATAGATGGAAGGAAACTATTACCGTGATGAACACGATGATGACTTGGAGTGTTGAGAATGTACTCCAGGGGTCCAAGAGAACGTACAATCTGTGCGTAACAAAATAAAAAACAACATGTGGCTTCGTTGACAAAATCTCTGATAATATTGTCCTCAAAGATTTAAATGTAAAGGGTTATAGATTTCAAATATTGCTGATCAATTTTGTACAGACCAAGCTTGGCTCAGTCCACTCAGATGCCAGTTTTAGTTTACTTCAGGTAAGTGCGTCATAATACAATTTATTCACAAACTTACTCAATAGTTTGCCCAGATCGAGTGGTTTTTTTCTTGAGTGTTGAAAGTAATGCGCTTTGGTTTTGCATTACTACACCAAGCAATTGGCTTAAGAAAAATTCTACCACTCTGTCATCCAATCAGAAGTAAAACTAAAACTCACTCTCGACAAATTTCCACATTGTCTTTTCCACACTTCACATCAGCTAAATTTAAATACTTTCAATTTTGATTGGTTCACTGGATTTTCTGTGTCCTTTGTGACTGTCCTGTATGATTACTTTGGTTTCCACATGAAAAAAAATTAAAATTGCTCTGATCACTTATTAAGCTTAGTTTCCAATTCACTGATCCCACAATCACTTCTTTGGAAATGCTGACCGACAAATTTCCTTACTAACTCACCCACCACATGATGGTGTTATAGTCAGCTGCAAATAGAAAGAGAAATTACCTCTGTATGAATCCAGAACTGATAAAGCATGTTGAACTGAGAATGGACAAAGAAGATTGAAGGAGGTACTGCCAGGGCTAAGGGCATGTAAAAAATCTGCAACAAGGAGAATTTGAACAACTTAAAATCTTGTTTAAAATGTGCAGCCAACATTCTTCAATAATTAAAAAGTTCTTACATGACTCTCATTTGGACAGAGTTCCTACTTTAAGTTGTCTCAATTTAAAAGGTGCCACCTTGCTACTGTAACAATTAATAGCTAGTACACTGGAATATAGAGTGAAAGTTGATGTCCAGGCTTGAGCCCAAAGCTGGGTTCATTGTGATGCATTCTTGCATGGGCAGCCAAGGTATATAAATGGGTACCAGTGAATTTAACGCTATCAATGGTAAACATATAACTCAGTGATTGATTACAATTCCATCCAGGGGAGTAGAAATACTCTTAGGTTGCTTCATTCTGTGGAAACTGGAGATACCTGTAAGCAATAGCCTGGTGGGTTACTAGCACAGACCCAATTACTTTTACTTTCACTGCTCTAGACTACTCACCGCAGACGTGTAATTCTGCACTATTGATTGTCTCAGAGCTGTTGTAAGATTATAATCCTCTGAACTATGATGTACTTGATGAGCTGCCCACATAATGTTTATTTCTAAAACAACAAAAGTAAAAACAAGAAACAAAAAACAGAAAAAGTTGAAGTAGATGATCTTAGGACTACTAAAAACAAAATAATAATAGTGTGTGAACCAGAGGCCTTCTTGTCATGAATTTGGATAACTGAATTCTCGCAACAACAGAATTTGTCTCCAACAACTGCATTTACACGTATCTTACCATGTGCAGCTCTGTGGAACCAGTAATAGAGAAAATCTACTCCAACGAAACAAAGGTACCATGTCCCAGGGGAGTCCCATGGCAGTTCTACCAGCTGGAAATTGTTATAAATGAACACATAAAAAACAAGTTCAACACTCAGCACAATTATCCTGTAAAAATAAAAAAGGGACAAATAATTTAATATTTATTTTATTGTTTACACATTGACTAACTATTATATACAATTTCGGACAAAAGTAGTGATCAATGTTGGGAAATGTCACGTTTTTTTTTCAACAAAAAGGGAAAAAAATCACTCATTGTAAGTGGGGGGAGGGCAGAACTTGCTTGGTGTCCCAACTTTTTTGTCTGGGATTAAACTAATTTCTTTATTTTATTGTTTGTCTATTTATTAACTATTATCTAGGTTTAAGAGGTACATTATAAGGGGGGAATGCTGATCATGACATTGCGACTAGAATATTCATCAAGCACCACGGTAATGCGATAAATACATGCAATTTGGCACATTAACATTGATATCTTCTTACTTTGACAACTGAGAAAAAACTCCTGCAGCAACTGAACTGAATGCATCATTCAACCTTGCTCGAGGCAGATTGGTGAGAAAACATAATATGTACTCCACTGCAATGGCACCTAAGAAAAATGGAACAGCCTGGCAAGAAAAAATATTGAAATAAAAATTTAAGATTTACTGCATGGACACTATCTACATTTAAATGACAAGCATAAAAACATGCCAGTGGTTTCAATCTGGATCTGATATCTACATTAACAGCTCATCTGAATTACATCCCTAACAATAATCATATAAATTTTACAACAACAAAAGGTAATTAGCTCATTTTAATTTGTGTATCTACTGAGCACAATTAAAATATGAGTGAGGAACTTCTGTACATCGTAGTCCAATAGTGTAATATCCCATTTTAAAGACTCCCGGTTATAAGCCCTTCTATTTGCTAATAAAGATATTACTCCACATATAAAGCCCCCTTGAATATAAGACCATCTACTGTATAAGTGTGTTCCTCTTGTGTTTTATAAACGTATTATAAATGTAATAGCTCTACATGTAATGGCATGTAAGCTTTAATTCGTTTCTTAGATATGTTTTACATGTATCTTGCCGTTCTGATACATCTTTTTATTCTGTTTATATGCCTCCCCCCCTGAATATANTTGCCATTCTGAAACATCTTTTTATTCTGTTTATATGCCTCCCCCCCCCTCCGAATATAAGCCCCCCCATTTATAAGCCCACCCAAAACCCCTTATGAAGTTACATAAGCCCAGGGCTTTAATGTGGGGTTTAATGGTATGGAAATTATAAAATTCAAACAATTTCTCTGACTGCCAAATTGGACTCGGCCAGCAGTCTTGTCCAATTTTAGATGTCCTTTGATTCTTTTAACTAATTATTTTCAAATTGGGCAGCAGGTAATTAACATTGTTACATAGTTTCTATACTAATAATACCTAAAGATATCAAATGATAATAATCCTCACTTCATTTAGATAGTCTGGCACATCTCCAAGTTTTGCAAAAGAGGCCTCCTGTGGTGACACTGCATACAGAAAGCGGCGCACCCCTTGTACGAATGTCACATTACCAAGAAGAGACTGAAATAGTACATTATTTTATGAAGATTGATATAAGTGGACTGGTTACAGTCATTAGAAGTCATAAGATGAATTTGAGTGCAATCAAGGATTTAAACTACAAATGATACTTGAAAATTCTCTCAAAACTGCACATAATTTCAAGCCTTTAGGCAAGTACAGTTTGAAAGAAATCTGTAATGTCATGAGTAGTGTAAATCCTTAACCACTTGAGCGTCTATACAATTCCTCATTTATTATACGGCTGAAGAAATTACTAATTTGCACTGCAGTGCAAATTAGAAATTTACCATAAATCTGCCTGCTCTCAGCCAATCACAATGAAGTTATTTAATCAGTCATATAGATAAACCTCATATTAGCTATAAAATCTTGTTAAGGTTATTATATAAATAAGCTTACTCCATTGCTGCTTCTGGTCAACAGTCTTTTACGATACTTGTGACTCAAGAGAGGCACAAATTCTTTGGGTGCAAATTAAGGAAAAGACCTAATGTTCATCAAGAAACTGTTGATCATATATGAACTGTGTCAGCAGCAGCCCTGTAACAATAGATCTGTGACTTCCCGTGCCACTCACCCACACACACACTCTCTAGCTTTCCCTCAGTCCCTGTACCATGGAATATGGGTCTAACTCTTGGTGGTAAGTCTGGAACATTTATTCCAAGGTGGCTCCCCATTGAGCTAGTGACTCTAGTACCACCTGATCTGTACTGTGCATTCCTAGTCTTGCTTCCCTACTACCCAAATCTTGCCCAAATCTTGGACAATACATAATTTAGAGGCTGAATCACGCCGGGCATAAAAATGAACATCATTAAGAGATTCTTTAGACGCTGCCAATCAGGGAGTTTCGATAGTCCAACAATCGTCATGTATTCGTGTTTCTCGAACAAACTCAGCTGAAGTGAAAGTACATTTAATGTATTTCAAATCGACATTTCTTACTCTCAACTTTAGTCCCTTAACTAATCTTGAGAGTAAGAAATGCGGATTTTAAACACATTAAAATTGATGTAAGCTTAAAAGCTTACTTTCACTTCAGCGGATAAACAAACTGACAATTATACTAATCCTGCAGGAATATTGCCATTTGAATTGAACACACGGCAAGCAGAAAATGAACTTTACGGTACTTACCTTGTCCATGACAAAAATTAAGCAAACTTGGATCCCAGTTGCCTTTTCACAGTTAACAAATCATAACATTCTTCCATGGTAATGAGCTCAAACGTGCTGTGCAAAAAACATCGATTACAAAATGGGTCACTCAACAACCGCTGTCCACTGGGACTCCGGGCAGTGAAAAACATCCTCAAGTTTTCCCATCTGGAGAAAATAAAACAAGTAATGTTCGGGAGGCGGGGTTCGGGGTGGGGGGAACCATTTAGAAACAGCAGCTCATGACATAAAAATTCTGCTGAAAGCCTTAATTTTGAAATTTTGGTATGCTTTCAACATTCGTACATATTGTTGCCTTGGCCCCCACGCTTGGTTGCTGTTTCGTTTGTGCCCTTGAATGACCTTGGGGATTGTACACCATTGTGTGTGCTCTCAAGTTCCCGTTTAGCCTGGGCGCAGACGTATTTCCGTTCGTTCCCGTGTTCATTTAGAAGGGAACAAAAATCAGCTAGGCTCTCGCGGCTCTCACGCGCAGAGGGGAGGGGGGAGATTTCATATCAACCATGTTTTATTAATTTTGGCGTTTTTGGCCACCTCGGGCGATCCAGTGGGTTTTAAATCAAGACAGGATATGGCACTACGTTGATTGTAAACTGAGTTGCTTCGAAAAGGTTGTACATAGAATCCAGACTCTATTGATTGCCACTATTGGGAACCACTACTATTGACCACTATTGGTCTTCCGGCAATGGTGGTCAGCAGGGTGCTCAGACGACACATTTACAGTGGAGGTGATTGCAAATTGCATTAGAAGACATATTAAGCAAACGAGACTACTCTTTTTCGCGCATACGAAAAATACAGAACTCACACTCACAAATGGTACATACCACTTTCAACCGGTGTATGACATTTACAGACTGCAGGCTGCAGTCTGCAGTCTGTATTTAGGCCTCAGTAGCGCTCCGGTTAGCCTGAATATCACTCAGGTTAATCTGGATAGCGCTCAGGTTAGCCTGTTAAGACTGTTCAGTAACGGTTAGCTCTTGATAAAGGAAATGGGAATACGATATAAGCTAAAAATCTATACTGCCTGCAATCTGCAAATGTCATACAACGCCTTTCAAGTCACTTTCAATGGCGTCTGGGATGGAACTTTGCGGTTTCAGAAGTGTACGTTATTTATTTGTTTGCTATTTATATTAAATCGCAACTTTTAGAGGGATAATCTTTCATTAAATAGATACGAGTGTTTTATTGGAAAATACACCACTCGTGGATTCGTACGAAACTACATCAAGGGCAGGGACCCGACTGGCGTATTTCCCACATAATACTGATCCTGACTGATGAAGTCATTTCCCGCTTGTCTTGGCTGTTTGTGCAA